GCTAAAAAAATCACACGTGCCTTGGAAAACAAAAAATCAACAAAATGTCTAGAAAAAAATGTTATTGAAACGTGCCCACTAGATACCTTGACATAAAGTACGCTACAACAAATTTTGGAAATGTTCACCATCCATTTCCGTATACCTTTTCACTCGACGAATCATTGAACGGACTCGAGCTAAAATTTGAGGTCTATTTCTTATTTCTTCGCACGCATTTAGTTTCAATTTCTTAATTCCTCTATTGTCTCTATGGGAGTAGCGAAAACCACCGTCTCAAGGTGTCGCCATAAATAAAAATCTATTGGATTTAAGTCAGAGGAGCGAAGTGGCCAGTGAATTGGTCCACCTCTTCCAACCCAATTTTGACCAAAGGTGTGTTATTCAGATGAGTTCTGACCTGTATACTAAAATGAGGAGGAACTCCATCATGCATAAAAGTTATTTGGATACGTATATTTAGAGGAACTTCTGGCAGTACGGGCAATTCTTGTTCAAGGAACTCTAAGATTCCCCGTTTCATCTTAAGGGTAAAAAGAAAGGACCAATTAAATTGTCACCAACAATACCGATCCACATATTCAACGAAAATTGTTCCTGGTAACGACACTGTACGAAAGCATGAGGATATTTGTCACTGACTTGAGTGTTATGATGATTAACAATACCATACCACCGAAATCCTACTTCGTCTGTAAAAAGTATGTTTTTTTAAATTCCTATTATTATTAACCTTTCGCTAATACCATTGGCAACAGTGTAAACGAGGTAGAAAATCTCTTGGTAATAATTTTTGCACACGTTGGACATGACAGGTATACAAAAGTAGCTCGGAGAGAACCTGCCACACAGTGCTGTTGGAATAATTACCCCCTAGTCTAGTAGCTATAGTACTAGTACTGATATCAGGATTTTGTTTCACGGCACGTAAAACTGCCTCGTCAAACTCAGGCGTACTTACGGACCTAGTACGGCCTCTAGCATTGGTCGGAATGGCAAAACTTCCTAAATAACATTGTCAAAAACATCACCAAAGAGAAATAAGAAAATTTGCCTCTTTCCCGTAATCTACGGTCTACGCTTTCAAAGATTTTACTATCTGGAAGTTGCCGATAGGGAAACGCTTCTGTAAACAGGCGCCTCGCTGCATAACAGTCACTATAAGCACGTGCATATATTACATGCATGTCTGTCAGCTCCTCAAAAGTATAATTTTCCATCACAAAAACCGAGACAAAAACGTTTTAGAGAAATGTCGCAAAGAAAATTACATGAATAATTCTTTTCTAGAAGAACTGACGCACAAAAGTCAAACCTGCATGTAGGAATGATTTTTTGTTTCCCAAGGCACTTGATTCTTTTCGCAAAAATTAATAAACCAACTTTGTCCTGTGACATGAAATAAAATTGCTTTTATTTTTTTTTCTCGAAAACGAAGTGAAATACGAGAAAAATAGAAGAGGCAAAGAAGTTGTATTTTTATATGCTTAATCAAAGTTACAAAAAAGGCAGAGACGTACATTTTTTTGCCAATGATCGCTAAGTTGCTCCCCGGGACCTAATAATTGTAATCTATTTAGGGCTAAATTAGCTTCGTAATACAGTAATAATAATAATAATAATAATGCCAAATTTCAAAAGACTCGTGTAAATATTTTTTTTTATTTATCACCCTGTATCTTGAAAACTCTGCATTTCCGGACCCATGTTTATAGAAACTTTTTTCATATTCTTTAACAAGGGAATCACTTTCTAAAATATCTCCGGAGATATTTTCTCCGACTATTTTCCGAGTATCCTGTTTATGAGACTGGCAAATGGACCTGTTGCAACACGGAACCAACAGACAAAACGGTGAAAATGAGATTTCAACTTAATGTGAATTTAAATTTTTATATCTAGCGACAAGCACAACATCTGTTATATTATGATTGAGGACAAATTAATGTTCTTGTTTATATTCATATAACGTAGTTTGTTATTCAAATACATTGTTGTAGCGTCAATAATAATTTCCATTGTTTTCTCGAAATTACCCTGCTGTGTTGCTTTTTTTCTTGTTCCGTAATGGGGTCCAAATCGTACGTCGCTTTTGGCTCCAGGCAACGGTAAGCCAATGAGCTCTGAAAATGATCTCTAATTGATATTGCCCTAATGAAGACATCGAGACAGTGGTTTCAGAGTGGTAAAACTCACCGTTGGTATGTCAAGCCGAATGTGGGAATGGCTTTTTTTGGTCAAACCTGCGAAGAAACAGGAGCTGAAACGATATGAGAGTAAAACTCTGATGTGCTGAATTATTTGAGATCTACGATGTCGCAGAATACAGCGATTCTCTAAGACGTAGCGTGAATGCTATAAAGGTGGTCAATGATACTGCAAAAAATGAATAGCTCTGAAGTTTGACGAATCGGTTAGAAATGTTGGTTAGAAACGGACATTTCTTATTGTGGGTAGTCGAGCAACACAGAAAGCTGTCCCCAAGCGAACAAAATGACCAACACACAGATGTTAAACATAATCATAATGCCTGTTAATCCTAGTACATATTTAAAGTTATTATTTCAAGTTTATGATTCCTGGTTTTCCCAATAAAAATAACAAATATTGAAAATTTCGTATTTATTGCTTTTTGACTTCCTACTTGGCGAGAATCGATCCAACGGCGGCGGAAAAAGTGCCAAAACCGAAAGTTTTTTGACGTTTGTTGAGTAAGTACAAGTTAGGAGCTAGGTGAGAGGTTATGAAAGAAGGTGTACTCTCTATATCTATGGATGTATGTACAATTTTTGAATATTATAACCTCCTAAGATGTTTCAATTTTGCTGGTTTCCACCTTACTGCAAAGAATTGCTCCCAGAATGGCATTTGTTTGAAATGTGGTGGAAGTGGACATCAACCCCAGAACTGTGAAATACCAGAAAATGAAGGAACTTTTCCAAATTGTAAAAAATCTAATTCAAAATGTAAAACAAATTTCGACATACACCATTCACCATTTAATAAAATTTGCAACATAGTCCAAATGGAACAATTACAGGTAACAGAATATTCAAACTATATTTACCATATAAATATTCAAGGATTTCTATCTAAAAAAGATGTCGTTTCATATTACTTGATATCAGTAAAGCCGGTGATGCTCTGTTTAACTGGAACACATTTCACAGAGGGTGTTGATGATGAAGAAATTGGAATTGAAGGTTATCAAATTGTAAGTTTACGGCCTGAGTGAAAAGTGCGTTCTGCGGTGCGTGGAGGTTTAGTGTCTAGGAACTTTCTTTGTCTGGCCTCAGTGAACAGTCAGCGTTCATGGCTTCATATGACATTTTTGATATGTGCGTAATGGGTGATTTTTTTGCTAGTATCTTTTTGGCAACACTGTTTTTGACAGATGACGCGTGAATCGTGTCTTGTGTCATTGTCAACATTTTTCAGTTTGGTCTATAATTTAACCATGAACCGACTTACGAACGAACAACGCTTGCAAATTATTGAATTTTACTATCAAAATTCATGCTCGGTTAAGAGAGTGCATCGAGCACTGCTTCCAATTTATGGGCAATTTGGTCGGCCTACTGAGGAAGCTATCCGGAAACTTGTGACTAAATTTCGAACCCAGTTTACGTTATTGGACATTAAACCACCAACACGCAGACGTAGAGTGAGGACTGAAGAAAATATTGCGGCTGTATCCGCCAGTGTTAGTGATGACCGTGAAATGTCGATTCGCCGCCGTTCGCAGCAATTGGGCCTCTGTTAGTCCACTACGTGGAAAATTTTGCGACAGGATTTGGGTGTAAAACCTTATAAGATACAGCTGGTGCAAGAATTGAAGCCACACGATCTCCCACAACGTTCCCAATTTGGTGAATGGGCCTTGGCAAAGTTGGAGGAAGATCCACATTTTTATCGAAAAATTGTGTTCAGCGACGAAGCTCATTTCTGGTTGAATGGGTACGTTAACAAGCAAAATTGCCGCATCTGGAGTGAAGACCAGCCAGAAGCATTGCAAGAGCTACCAATGCATCCCGAAAAAATCACTGTTTGGTGTGGATTATGGGCCGGTGGCATCATCGGGCCGTATTTCTTCAAAGACGACAATGGCCGGAACGTAACTGTGAATGGCGAGTGCTACCGTGCGATGATAACAAACTTTTTTTTCCCAAAATGGGAGAGCTGGACTTGGCTGACATGTGGTTTCATCAAGACGGTGCCACATGCCACACCGCACACGAAACAATGGCCCTATTGAGAGGCGAGTTCGGTGAACAGTTTATCTCACGTTTGGGGCCCGTCAATTGGCCGCCTAGATCTTTTGATTTAACGTCGTTGGACTATTTCTTGTGGGGCCATGTTAAGGCTAATCTCTACAGGGATAAACCAGCAACGATTGACGCACTGGAAGCCAATATTGAAGCATTTATTCGTGAGATACCGGCCGATATGTTGGAGAGAGTGTGCCAAAATTGGACCTTGCGCATGGGCCATCTAAAGCGACCGTTCTATCGACTCAAATAAAGATTTAATCGTTTTTTAAAATTTTTTGTGTTTTTTTTTTTTGAAAATCAAATCCTATACCTTTTAAAAAAATCACCCGTTATTTAGAAGAAAATTCAGTTTTAAAATTTGACTTGTGCAAGGAAGATCCAAGTCATGCTAAGCAAAGAAAAATATCAGGATAATTTTCTACATTGTTTGAAAAACTAAGATCAGACGAAAAGAAATTCAGCGAGTAAACAAGAATGTCAGTGTCAACATTCGATTACATATTGGAAAAATAGATGCACGTTTAAAAGTAACAGCTACTATTTTCCATTTGTCAGATTCAATAACGCTCTAAAACACAAACTGAATTGAAATGAACGCACTCAACGATCCACCAGACCTAAAAATTCACGCTCCCTACAACGCTAGGTACAATAAACAGAGATACGAGAGATGTCTTTTAAGTTTTGCATATGGAAATAAAACAACACGGTAGGTAGTTTTAAATGACTTTATTGTTTTTCGAAGTATTCTCCACGAAGATTAATACACATACGCATGCGCTCGAACCAATTTTCGAAGTACTTATTCCACTCGTTTGCTGGCAGATCCAAAACGGCATTTTTGAATGCGTCAACTGCTTCTTCTGATGACGTGAACCTTTGACCACGCAGTCTGTTTTTAATTTTCGGGAAAGTAAAGAAATTGTTAGGACTTAGATCGGGACTATATGGAGGATGGTCCAATAATTCCACGTTTTCTTCCGTTAAATACTGCCTTGTTTTTTGGGCTCCGTGCGAGCTTGCATTGTCTTGGTGGAGGATGATTCTTCTTTCGGGGTTGATTTTTCGAAGCTCGGTGATGACTTTTGGCAAATAAATGGTGGTATACCAATCCGCAGTAACAGTTCTTTGCTCATTAAGAGGAATTGTTGCAATATGACCCGCTTTTTGACACACATGTAGCGACCATCTTTTTCGAAACACTTCTAGAACGGATGACTTTTGTTGGCTTTTCTTCACCTTGGAACAGCCGACTGTCGTTTATTTTCTGGTTCATAACAGTAAATCCACGATTCATCACCACTAACAATGCTGTACACATATTTTGAGTTTACGGAATTGAAATGCTCAAGCGTTTTTTGACACCAATTAACCCTGGCTGCTTTCTGCTCTTCAGTCAACAGGTGGGGTATCCAACGAGAAACTAATTTTCTTTCTCCTAATTCTTCATGTAAATTTTTTTGAATTGAGGTCTTTGATCTTTGGTCACATGTCTATCTTCAATGATGAGTATGCGCACAGCATCGACGTTTTCCTGGGTGAATGCCGTTTTTGGTGCACCCACCCTGGGATCGTCGCTAAGACTCACCCGTCCACGTTTGAATTCGCCCTACCAACGGGAAATTGTCGAATGATGTGGCGCTTCGTTGCCGAAAACAGACAGTAACTCAGCAAGGCCTTCTTGTTGCGATAGTTGTCTCTGAAAGTTGTAATAAATTATGGCGCGAAAACGTTCTTGGCTGAGTTCCATTTTTCTAATCACTTGGTGACACTTGAAAATTCACTGTAGTGAGAACACTGCACGTATTGTTGTGAAACTTTGAATTTAACCCTGTAAAGCTTAGTGGGGTTTCGCATGACCCCAAAGAAAATTCAAATGTTCACTAATTTTTTGTGCATAAATTGGCAACATCGGAGATCCCGCTATGTTCATTTGAGGTTAAAGTGTGTGTGTTGTTGGTCGCACATTTTTGTTCAGTGCAATAGTTTATATGATATTTTGTGTTTGGGGTGACGAGTAACCCCAGGTAAGCTTAAACTGAGATGATCCCAAATTTGAAGAAACTCTGTTACGATGGAATGAAGAACTCGACAATGAACCTGATTCAGATAATGACGGCACTGACTATGACGACCATGTTTCAATTCAGTCCGACAGGGAGAGCACCTACTCAACGGATGATAGTGAAGTAGAGAGTGACAGAACAACAACTTCCTGGCAAAGTAATAAAAGAAAAAAATGGACATATTTGGAGCACTGAGCTTCCATGTCGTACTCGAACAGCTAAGCGAAACATTGTTTTTTAGCGCGAATGTTATAGATATTATAGTGGTGCATACAAATATGGAAATAGAACGACAAAGAGGGAAATATGTTGCTAATTGTGGCTTTTTTAACGAGACAGACGTTGAAGAGATCTTGGCTTTGATAGGACTGCTTTATATGACAGGTTGTAGAAAAGACAATCATCTAACTACAGCAGAAATGTGGTCAAAGCATGGACCAGAAGTGTATCGATGCGTAATGAGTGAAACAAGATTTAGATTTTTGATATCTTGCCTCAGATTTGACGACAAAACCATGAGAGACCGAGAAGATAAACTTTCTCCAGTACGTAATATATGGGAAATGTTTATATCTAACTGTACAAAATACTATACTCCTCACAGTTATTGTACCATCGACGAACAGTTATTGGGATTTCGAGGCAATTGCCCTTTTAGAGTATATATTTCATCAAAACCTGACAAATATGGAATCAAAGTTGTAACGATGTGTGATTCACGCACATATTATATGGTTACTGCTATTCCATATATCGGCAAAGAAAATAGGCCAGATAAAGAACCTCTCCCAGCTTATTACGTAAGAAAACTGACAGAACTCATTCACGGAACCGGACGCAATTTGACGATGGACAATTGGTTTACTTCCATCCCACTGGCTGACAAAATGCTTGTTGACTACAATTTGACCATTGTGGGTACTCTCAGAAAAAACAAGAGGGAAATTCCTCCATCATTTCTCCCAAACAAACGAAAAGAAATTATGTCTTCTCAATTTGGATTCGACAACCAAAAAACCTTGGTGTCCTTCACACCCAAGAAGTCTAAATCTGTGCTACTTTTATCGACAATGCATTCTGGTAGTACAATAGATGAAAATAAAAAACCCGAGATAATAAATTTTTACAATTCTACCAAAGGAGGTGTCGATACCTTTGACCAGATGGTGCACACATTCGGTATCCCGCAAAACACTCAGGTGGCCATTACGCTTTTTTATGCTATAAAACCTGACAAAACCCATACCTCGAAAATTGAAAGAATCAATGATGAATATTCTAGATATGAAAACAGAAGAAAAAGTTGATCCACCTCCAGCAAAATTGCTAAAACAGACTCGCTGCATTTTATGTCTAAGAACAAATGACCGAAAAACAAAAACTGCCTGTGCGAAATGTTTCAAGGCTGTTTGCAGTAATCATCGAGCTGAAATATGTACCGAGTGTTTGAAATAAATGTTTTATTATTGAAACAAAAGTATCTATCTTTTATATTTTGTTCATTAAATAGGAATATATCACTGGGGTTATTGGTAACCCCGCCTAAGCAACTATAGCCGTGCTATTCGCCTAAGCGCTCCAGGGTTAAGTTTACTAAAGAGTGAGGTTAAGATTCAGTACTGACGTTCGATCCGCGCGCGGCCTACTATGTTTCTATATGCAAAACTTAAAAGACATCCCTCGTAGTCACGCACGCTCCACGACCCGCGTCGCTGCACGCTCGCCAGGAGCGGGTACTCAGGCCCCACACTAAGAGCAAACACAATTTCCAGACATACAGCTACCGTGCAAGAGTATGACATCATCAAAAAAATCTATTTTTGGAATCTGTGCCTGGTTTTTATTGTATTTTATTATTAAATCTTGTTTATAAATTAGAAAACACTATATTGTTATGATTTATATCCAAAATGGTGAAATTATGAAGGAATCAAAAATTATTATTTCATATTTACGCTGTAATTTCAAGTATACAAATTTTAATCGAAAACGCTCTGGCCGATCGAAAAAAAAAACAACCCAAGCTGATGATAGACACATTTTATTGATAAGCAAAGAAAATCGGTTCAAAACAGCACCGGACATTCGTGCCGAAATCAACAAAACCCTGGCTAACCCAATTTCGGTGTATACTGACAGACGTCGTTTGCGAGAAAAGGGTTATTTTGGTCGCGTTGCTGTGAAAAAACACTTCTACGATCACAAAACAAGCGGAAAAGATTATTGTTTGCTCAAAAATACGAAGACGGGTCAGTTCATCAGTGGAAGTCTGTGTTATGGACCGACGAATCAAAGTTCGAAATTTTTTGATTTAGGCGACGCCAGTATGTTCGTCGAAATAAAGATGAGCGTTATAATCCCCAATGTATTGCCCCAACTGTTAAGCATGGCGGAGGCTCCGTGACGGTCTGGGGGTGTTTCAGCTACGATGGTGTTGGAAAACTGGTCAAACTCGAAGGGATAATGCGGAAGGAACACTATCACAATATTCTTCAACAAAGAGCCATTCCATCTGGCAATGGTTTGATCGGCAATGGATTTATCTTTCAACAAGCTAATGATCCCAAACACACCTTCTATCTGTGCATGAACTATCTGCGGTCCAAGGAAGAGGAAGGTGCAATCATCAAAGCACGAGGTTCACACATTGATGAAAAAACCTAATTTGACTTTTCATGATATCTTCGTTATTTTTAAACATCTTTATAAGAAATTTGGATATAATAAACATACATAATGACAAAATAGCTAGCCTTTTTTGAGTTTATATACGAGATTCGTTCACAAAATGATGCTTAAGGCAAGAAAAACCAATCACAAACTCAAAAAATTGATTTTTTCGATGGTGTCTTGATACTTTTGCACGTTAGTGTATTTTATGTGAAATAGAAACCAGAGTACATAAAATTGTAGCTGTTCAGTACCAATAGTGGTATATCAATGTTGAATTGAATGTTAAGCACAATTATAATGTACACATTTACTACCGATCTCCAACTGGAAATATAAACAGATTTAAATATTTTTCGAAAATATGTGTGAAACATTTTTATCGAAACTTCATCACGGTACATTTGGGTGATTTTAATATAATAAAATAAAAGAATCAAGACTTCAAGACGCAAAGAAATTTAAACAGGTACTCAGTTTTTATGGACTATGGCAAAAAGTCTGTGATCACACCAGAATTACAAATCAATCAAGAACAATTATAAATTTGATAACGAACGAACAAAATTTAATTGCAAAAGTTATGCTTACTCCTAAGATTAGTAATCAATCATGGACATGTTTTGAAGTTGAAAGTATATTTGATGCTAACAAGAGGAAGAAATTACTAATATTAACCATGTAAAATTACGAGAAGCTCTTTTACTACATGATATGAAATGTTTGTTGATGTTGATAGCTACTGTACAAGCCTATTGGATAATGTTGAAGTTTGCATGAAAGAAGCTACAGTCAAGACAACAATTCAGAAAAGGAAAAATCCGACAACTTGATTCTCGCAGACGTTCAAGGATTCTAAATTAAAAAGAGACTACAATTATAAACAGTTTATGATTACTGGGAGTGGAAATGAATGGCTAAAATACACAAGATCAAGAAACCAATATGGATCCGGCCCTGCCTCTTTACCGAGTCGCAGCAGTTTAATCGGGCTCTTGAAAAAGTTTAATTTCTACCAGTAAAACAACGTAATTTGTGCATAGTGACATATCCATACCATCAAGATAGAAGCCAGCAGCCTACTGTGAGTAAGAAACCATCGAATTTTCATCGATATTCCGCTGTTGAAGCAATACAGCAGTGTGTGCTAGCCACAGTGCTGAGATTTCCTCCTGCGTTTGTGGAATTCACGTCGCACAAAAAGACTCCTTCATCGTCGTGTTACAAAACACAGTACCGTACTCAGATATGGTCACAGCACATCTGAAAGAAGGCAATTGAACCAAGAAAGATGTCTCTCCAAAGTATTCCTACAACATCAACAAATATCACCAATGCTCCATCTTATTCTACTGTACTAAATCAGCCAGTCACTTACAAGCATCCCAATAAAGATCAAGCCATCGTTTTCAATTCCATCGAGGGTACCAGGATACAAGATTACCTCTTGGAGCTGGGCCCCATAGTAGATCCAAAAAATATAATATTCTGCTCCAGGATTTCAAATAACCGTATATGCATTTATTTCTCCAACAAGCAAATAGTCGACAAATTTCTCAATAATCCTGGAAAAATCGAATTGCAAGGACAAGTTGCACATGCACGGCGACTAGTAGCACCTGCAGATAGATTAGTCATCTCAAATGTCTGCCCCACAATACCGCACGCAAAAATCAAAGATAGCATACAACGTATAGGCATCAAAACAGTTTCGCCTATTTCATTTCTGAAGATCGGCGCACCTCTTCCTGAATATAATCATATTTTAAGTTTCCGAAGACAGGTATACAGGGTTATCCAAATTAAGTGTCCACCGTTGGTAACTTTGTTATTAGTAAAAATACAAAGTTGTTTAAATTAGCAAACTAGTAGCATTTTTAACGCTGGTAAAAATGAGAAATAAAAAAAAACAATTGAGAGTCGTTATTTTGATTTTTTTCAGTAAAATACCATTTTTTTAAATGGAAACCCCTGTATATTATATTTTTTTCTGTTGAAGCATCAAATTTTAAAC